ACAAGGGTTAGTAACGAGGAGAGACTATTCATGAAGTGAGAAACACCTGATGGCAAATTCTACCAAATGGGGGAACAAGGTTCGTACTCTTTTGAGTTTTTGAAATTCCATGACTTTCTATGACCTTTTCCATGGTCTTTCCGAGTTTTCCATGACCTATCTGAAGCAGTTGTTCTCAAAGTATTGTCAAAACAATCCATTATTTAAGGTAATTTCCCACATTATGACGCATAAAATGCGTGCTAGTGTTCATTTTTCTTACTGGAATTAAGTGGTTTCCTGACTTGTCTGTTGTTTTTTCAACTTTTGATTTTTTTTTGCCTGTTCATTCTCAAAAAGTTTTTTCCTTTTCCACGACTTTCCATGACCCACACTTCAATTTCAGGACTTTCCAGGCCTGGAAGATGAAATTATAAAATTCCATGACTTTCCAGGTTTTCCATGACCCGTGCGAACCCTGGAGTTTTCGCATGGAAAAGAATAGATTTATTTTCCAAACAATGGGAAATGTTTTCTTAACAACAACAACAACAACAACAACAACAACAACAACAACAACAACAAAAAACCCTTAATTCTTAAAGGAAAGGATTGCCGAATTTCCGCTATAAGACACGCCTGCAGGGAATCATGGTCGTTCTATTCATCAAAACAAACATGCAATCCAAGATGATGAACTGATACTCTGTTTTGGAGCAGCAACATGACCGTCGAGACTTCAAGCGAAAACGCTCTATGGCGTTTTGGCTAGGCAGAGAATACATGCACATTTGCTTTTGTTTCACGCAACCGATTTCTTAGCATTAAAATAAACAAAGAAAAGGAAAAACTACTGAACACACGAACACACGAAATTCTCAGCTCGAAAACAACTAGGAAGTGTCTGAGCCCCAAGAAAACTAGGGTTAAAATCGTTTGAACTGAAATTCACTTTCAGTCCAATTAAAGCACTAACTCTACAAAATACGTACTAAATCTGCATCGACGAAGATGATTTTCTTCACATGGAGCGGGAACAGAA